AGAAATCACCATCAACACAAAGAAAGAACAGAAAAAGGGAAAAACAACAAAGCAATGATCAAGGGAAAAAAAAAAAAAAAAAGAGGGCTGCGGTGGTTTGTTAAATCTGGCCTGCAAGTGGTCCGACAACCATGAGAGGGGTTCGGCAGCAATGAAGGAAAGAAGATGATGAAGATCGACGCCATGATTTGTTAGATCTGGAATGCTCGATGGCCATGGCTTTGGTGAGGAAGGAGATTCGACAACAATGAGAAAGATAGGGTAATGGCTTTGGTGAGGAAGCGGTTCGGCAGTAATGAAGGAGAGAAGATGATGAAGATTGACGCTTCATGATTTGTTAGATTCGGAATGCTCAACGGCCATGGCTTTGGTGAGGAAAGAGATTCGGCAGCAATGAGAAAGGGAGGGTCATGGCTTTGGTGAGGAAAGGGTTCGGCAGCAATGAAGGAGAGAAGATGGTGAAGATCGACGACGGCCATGGCTTTGGTGAGGAAGGAGATTCGGCAGCAATGAGGGAGATAGGGTTTCAGTTTGCGGTGGAGAAGAGGAAAAGAAAATGGCGCAGGTTATTTTCAGTTAATAAAAATAAAAAGGGAATAGAAAGGGAAATAATAAATAAGAAAAACATAATTTTTGAAAAGAAAGTCTTTTTGAACTGGTTCCAATCCAGATCACGGTTCAAAAAATAAAACTTATATAATTTATAAGTGTGAACAAATGTGAACTTATAGTGTGAATATAAAAGAATTTTTTTTATTTTGTTTTAATATATCTTTAGATATCAAATTTAAAAATAGAGTATGAACACAATTAATTAATATCATAATATAATAATACTCATTACACCATTATATTATTTTTTTCTTAAATTCAATTAATTAATTTAATTTAATTCAATTCAATTATATTATCTATTTTTCTTAGATTCTTATTAAAAAAATATTCATTAACTTATATTTGTGTATACATGTAATGGAATTGAAAAAAAATATATTTTACTTATTTATTTCCCTTTTTATTTTTACCTGGACCATTTTTTACCAAACAATCTAAAGCCATGGCCGTCGTTGATAAAAAAATCTCATCTTTTCCGCTTCTCCACCACAAACTGAAACCCTATCTTCCTCATTGCTACCGAATCTCCTTCCTCACCAAAGCCATGGCCGTCGTTGATCTTCATCATCTTCTCTCCTTCATTGCTGCCGAACCCCTTCCTTACCAAAGCCATGACCCTATCTTCCTCATTGCTGTCGAATCTCCTTCCACTCCGGCCATAGTAATAGGCTTCGTCGGAGTACCGGTTTCCTCATCCGGATTCCATTCAAATCTAGGAATATGAAAACTGCTTCGTCCTCTCCGTCACGCTCTTTCCCCCTCCTCTTACTCACTTTATGTACTTATTTTGTCTCTCTTTATTCCACTTTTTCATCAGTACTAGGCGATGCTGGGTCCTGTTTTGCGTCTTTGATAATCGAAAACGAAGCTACCTCCAAACCATTGTACTGGAAAGTTACCAACCCCACTCTATCGCCTTCTCATCTCCAAGGTCAGTCTTTCCAGTTCACTTTGATGATTGAGTGTTTTGAAACATAAACTCGGATTCGAAATTTTGGAGACCCTTGATTATTTTTTAAAGTTCTTTTAATACCTAATCAAACGGTGTTTATTTGGAGTTTAGTTTGCTCTTTTTCCTGTGTGTAGATTTGCCTAGTTTCACTCGAAGTGTTTACGAAAGGGACCACGCAATAATTACACCAAAGAGTCATGTATTCAGTCCTCTGCCTGAATGGTACTTGAAAGTTTGCATTTTGATTTATTTGGAATGTTGGGCATTTTTTTGTGGTATGGTGATCTTAATTTATATGGCAGGACTAAAACACTGGAAGCATATTTAATCACACCGGAAATGGGCGCACACTTCGTGATGTACCTGGGCAAAATGCAAGGTCTGATCCTATTTGAGTAGTTAGTTGTATATGTTTCATTTTGCTTTCAGATATCTGTGCAGCAACTGATGCAACCTTTTAATTTCATTACTGCTCATGTGTGTTTAATATGATTGTTTCTGGTTTGACAATATTATTATGTGGTTTTGTATTATTTTCTGGTTCATTTATAATTAGGACTTATTCTTGCAAGGCATTGCATTTTTGCATCAGAAATAGATCTTACACTTCTTCTTGTTGATACTTTGGTCAGGGATTTGCCTCAATATCACATTGTTGCGTTGAATTTTTTTGTCTTTTCCTTTTTCTTCTTGAATTTTTTTTTTCTAAATTTTTCTGCTAATGCGATCGGCATTTTTTTTGTTCTTTGTAGATTTCGATTGCAAGGACTCGTAATGGCCTATATTCTCTGTTGCAGCAGTGACAACGCGATATTGAATTTAGAGAGTCTGCAAATGAACAACGACAAAGGTATTTTCTATTTTATGTTATTTATTTGCTCAATTCGGGGGAGTGGTTCTGTTTTTGATATTTCTACATCTTAACATGGTATTAGCATTTGATGTTAAATGCTATTATTAAATGAACATTGAAGTGGAGTGAATATTTTTTCTAAAATAATTTTCTGGTTGCATATCCTTTGTGTAGATTACTATCAGATACATCCAGATTAGAGCCAAAGGTTGAGAGGCTTGAGTCACAGTTGCAAACTAAAGATAAAGATATAGCAACAATTACAAGAACGGTTGGAATCTATTAGTTTTGTTAAGTGAGATTCTTTTTAGTTGACATTCGTGTTCGAATTAAGGACCACTTGTTAAAATAAATGTGATTAGGAAGCCAAAAATATAGCAACTTTTAAGGCGCAAATTGAGAAGCTACAACAGGAAAGGGATGGGTTTCAGAGGATAGTGATTGGTAATTAGGTAAGTAGATTTTTTAACTTGAAAGTATGATTGCTTTATTTCTGTGGCTAATTGTAAACAATGTACTGGTACTAACTATTGTTAATTATGTGTCGATTCTAAAAAAGCAAGTGAGAACCCAACAGATACATGAAATGAAGAAAAAAGAGGAGTACATAAAGTTGCAAGTAGGATCTTTTCTGCATGGTTTTTGAAAACTTAAAAAGAATCTATTCTGATTATGATCAGAGAATCGGATCATACAGTTTTGATGATATGAGTGTTTCTCTTGCAGGAGAGGCTTAACCAAGTTTTGATGGAGAAGAAGAAGGAATCAAGATTAGGAATGGAGATAATGAACTTGCTCCAGGTATTTATTTGACTACCAGTAGTGGTAATGGTGAAGCAGTTTAATTCTGATCATCTAATTGGTTTTATAACTTGTGAAAACAGAAAAAAGGGCGGCAGCGTGGGACTTGGAATGGAAAGAAGGTTGATAACGATTTCTATAAAAAGATTCTATGAAGGGTTATTCAATTTATTTGAAGCTTGTTGTCTCAGTGTCTGGTGAAATTATGTTCGACATTCCACTATCTGTAGGTGGATGCTTATGAGGCAAAAAATCAAGAACTGATGGCTGAGAATGCTGACTTAAGAGCGTTGTTAAGGTCAATGCAGGCATGTTAACCATTCTATAACTTCTGGATATATTTCACATAATTGATGGATCTGCTTATGTTTTCTTTGTGCCACTGGCTAATGTTGGAATTCATTTTTGTTGCCCTTGGACTTGATAATGGACAGGTACGGCAGATTTACTGCATATGGCCAATCAAAGGTAGCTAATGTTTTGCATGCTAATGAACTTGCAAGACGTCTTAAGGTATGTTAATTCATTATTACTAGCATAAAAGATGGAAGATACTATGGTGTAAGATCATCGCATACATGTTGCAAATGGAATTATTGATTTTTTGTTTGCAAAAGGCTTTATAGATACTAAATATTTGCTTCTGACTTTGCCCCTTATTAGTTTTTATTTCAAACTTTTTTTCCTGTGACCTTTCATGCTTTAGTTTGGCATAGCAAGTGCAGTAGAGATTGTAATTTTTCTTATCATTCAGTTTCCATTGGCATTATCTCCCCTGGTGCCTAAAAATGTGAACTTTTCAGAAACCTAGCAAGTTTTCCAACATGCATGATGGGTTTAAATATTTCATTTAAAAGGAATTTTTGAAGTATATTATATGGAGATTGGCTTGGATATCACATGTTACTAGACTATAATTGTGTTACCCTGTTGTAAGCCTGCTCATGCATTTGGAGCTATGTTACATAAACTCTGGAATCAGGACCAAGTGTCTGATAGTGATTTCCTTAAATAATGCAGCCTTGAATCCTTTTTAATTTTGTGTAATAGGTCACCTCTATTTTTATTAGAAGAACCTGTTACATTGTTTTCTAAGCACCTGGTTATCAAAACATATATTTCTTTGGGTTGCTAGCCATATCAGTTAAGCATTACAATATTTACTGAGCAGTAAGATTTTATGCTGCAAAGATTGTATTTTCTGAAGTGGACCTCCTTGGATGTTTATTATTTTATGGAGTTCTCATTAGCTTATGTTTTTATGTAACTTAAGAGTGCGGTTCACCTTTGTCAGTAGAGATCACAATGATGCTAATCTGACATTAGTTTTATTACATGTGATCTTTTAGGTTTTGCTATACTTTTCTTTACATAATTTGTACACTTACAGGTAAATTCCCTTTGAATGGGGATGTCCCTTTTAAATGGTCTTGCTGTACTTCAACTGTACTGTTGACAGCATCAAATTTAGATGTTTCTGTGCTTGTGAACTGTCACAGTAATGCTCTCTCTCTGTCTTCACTGTGGTAGTTTGAAATTGCTATGTAAGATGCGCATGATGTTTTTTTCTTTGAGCAGGAAGAGGGAGTAGATATAACTGCAAATTCACTTCATCCAGGATTAGTTGTCACCAATATTGCCCGTCATTATTTGGGCATCTTTAATGGTAATTATTTAAGTGTTCGATGTTATGATTGGGATTTCTCCAGTGTGGCGCATCATTTTTTCTTTCCTGATCCAAGGAAGCAATATGGATATTGCTACCTTGTACATAAAGCATGCAAAGCACTCTACTTCCTTTGTCTTACTACAGGCCTTTTTCTCAAGATTGGTAAATTTGTATTGAAGAGTTGGGAACCCTCTTGAATTCTTCAAACCCTAGCATTCTGCAGCTCTCATGAACTCTCAACCTCCTTTCCTCTTTTACCATTTGGTGACAAGGAGGGAAATGGCAAGATGAACTTAGTTCTCCACTAAGTTGGAAGATAATCCATTTGAAGTGCGAACAACTCTTGGTGGAATGTAACTTTTTTCAAGTGTTCTTGGCAATTACATGCCAATAGACATGTATACACTACTTTTACTGTTAAAAATTTATCAACTTTTTTAAGTTAAGGCACTCAAGTTTAAAGAAATTTATAGTTAAGTATACAAGGTTGTAAAGACTTTAAACTAAGGACATATGTTTGTTTAAACCTTCAATTAAAGACAGGGTTGTTTCATATGTTTATTACTAATTTGTTTGAATCTCTCAGAATATGTTAATTGAGTCATTTATTCACTTGATTTTATATTATTTGATGCAGTACAGGGAAAAATAAAGTTGTTGGTAATAGACGAAAGTTTTCTATTTTGCAAAGGAATAAAAATCCAAATAGGTTTTCACAAACGTCATAAATTGATAATTCAAGTAATTCAAGTATAAATGGCTTTACAGGTATAATGCTAGACTCATTCATTTAAAGTTTAAGCTATATATGTTTTGTCTATTGTTTTTTTTTTTTTCATCATATATTAACAAGTTGTAATTTGGAAAGGAAATACGGATATTTTGTCTCCAATCTCTTATGGTGAATTTGTTTTTTGATTTGTTTTTATTATTCTTTTATTGACATGACATTCCAATCTTATTAACTATGCATATTTATTGATAATGGTACCATACTTTGTTTTAAAATTCTTTTGTCTATAATTTCATAGATTGGACTTCCCTTGGATTTATGGTTTTTTGTTTAGATTGTAACTCAAACAAATTGTTTGTAGGTTACTTAGATATCAGGGACCCTATATACAAATGCAAGTATTGTGGTGCATTAATGTGGTATAATGAGCAAACTAAGAAACTGATTTAGCTAGTTTTTGGAGTAAATATTTGTTCTTTATAACTCTTCCATGTCTTTTTTCCAAGTTTCTTCCATGTGCAGATACATTGATTTCTTTCTTTAGACTATTTTTGTTTATTTATTTTTATTTTTCAAGTTTAGATACATAGATTTAAGGTCTGTATATATGTTCAGTCAAAGGAATAAGAAAATAAGGAGAAAGAGTGGAGGTAGCGGAAGAGAACTTTGGTAATAAAAGGATAAGCATAATACCTTTTGTTTCTACTATAATAATTGTTATTGTAAATAAAAGGTTGATTTATGATATGTAAAATGAAAAAAAAAAAAAA